TCCTTGTCGCCCTCGTCCACCTCCTCCTGCATCCCCTCTCGCCTATCTCTCCTCGTCCATCCGCCGCTACACTGGCTGCTCCTCGACGTCGCCCCGTTTTAAAATGGATCCCGATCTTCCGCGAGTCGGGACTTGATTAAACGCGGACCGGAGTTTCGACGATGGAAATACGTCAGTTCGGTAGAAAATTGGGAAAGTTCCGCGCGAAATATTAAAGCCCCGGCTAAATATAAGGGGAGACGACGACGGAAGGAGCTTGGGAGATACCACAGTTTCGCTTGCGGTATCTACCCCGCTCGACCGGCGCCGATTCCGCGATTGAAAGGGAAATTTGTTGCGGGATCAACCATGTTGGTGCACTTTTTTAAGAGTATTTTAGTGGATTCGACGAGTCTCTCAGGCGCCAATTTAATTTCGCGTGAAGTAGTTGAACTTTTGGGAGAAAAATGGTTCGGTGCTGTCGGTGCGAAGTTTCCCTCCAAACTGGCTGCTTCGCGTGAAAAGTATTACAAGAGATTTATTGGGCAGAGTTGGAAATTAAAAATTCACCGTTTGCCTTCCATCAATCCTTGGGCACGATGAAACTACAGAATAAGAATTCTGCTATTAGCCTAAATGAGGAGTGAAATGAAAAATAATTCCGAAATTATTACCGAAGTAATCACAAGTGGAAGGATATTTTTTCGAAATCTCTGAAAATTTCCCTTACATCGTTCCACGATGCATGGTAAAAAAAGAAATATAAATTTTAAAATTATCCGCGTGAAAAGTATTACAAGAGATTTATTGGGCAGAGTTGGAAATTAAAAATTCACCGTTTGCCTTCCATCAATCCTTGGGCACGATGAAACTACAGAATAAGAATTCTGCTATTAGCCTAAATGAGGAGTGAAATAAAAAATAATTCCGAAATTATTTCCGAAGTAATCACAAGTGGAAGGATATTTTTCCAAATCTCTGAAAATTTCCCTTACATCATTCCACGATGCATGGTAAAAGAAGAAATATAAATTTTAAAATTATTGCTTTCGGGAGAAGTCGAGGAATGGGAAAAATTGAAAATTAAAAATTCATTGTTTGCCCTTCATAAATCCTTCCAACGATGAAACTACAGAATAAGAATCCTGCCATTACTCTAAACGAAGAATAAAAACTAATTCCAAAGTAATCACAAGTGCAAGCGTATCTTTCCAAATCTGAAAATTTCTCCTTACATCACTCTACGATTTCCAGAATTTCTCAAACAATTCCTCTGCGCGGTGAAAACGCCGGGAAATATTCTGGAAGAATTCCTCCTGGCCGAGAAGAAGAGAGGTCCATCGAATTTCAATAAACTTCCCTCATTTTCACTTCAGCTTACACAACCACTCCTCTGAATCTTTCAAAAACTGCCAAAGAATAATCACGCAATTTGAAACGGGAGTTCGAATGGACCAATGGGCAATCACGTTCCGTTCCGTTCCGTGTGAAAGAACGGTGAGCGAAATCTGGAATGGACCATTGGAAAGGGGGACAGCAGGCAATAACAGTAGCAATATTCGTTACGGCTTCGGGTCTCTCTCTCCTTCCGGCGCGGCGCGATCCTGAGAATCGGAAGAATTGCTGGACGGGCGTCGTTCACTGTGAATCCTCGCATTCTCCGTCGTGGACGACGTAGAAACGGTCCTTGCGGCAATTCCGCGCGGACACGCACGTACCGTTCTCGTACGTGAACATGGCGGCCCCCGTTCGTCCTTCGCGGTCCTCTTTATTAGAACGTGTCAAACGCGAGGAATCCGGACGAACTCGACGCGTTGCTACGGCACGCTCCGCGGATCAACGTTTATGATGCTCGCGGTTTGGAATTTGGTATGTAGATAAGAATCGAACGGGTTACGGATGAATGTCGTACGTCCGTTCGAATTACGGTTGGCTAATGGGTTGAGACAGGTGCGAACCACTCTGCTGTCCACTTTTGTTGAAAGAGGAAATGCGCTGGGTGCTGAAAATGTTGAGGAATTAAGCGAGAAAAGTCTACTTCAATTTTCTTATTTAAACTTTTGGTTATTTGTGGCTTAGTGAATACTATAATTTTCTACAGATATTGAATCTCCGTCTAAGGATATTTTAGGTGCAGGGTGTTGAAAATGTTGAGGAATTAAGTGACGAGTGTTTACTCGAATTTTTTCGTTTAAATTTTGATTATTCGTAGCTCAGTGAATAGTGGAATATTCTAAAGATTTTGACCCTCAATTTAAGGATATTTTATGTGCAGGGTGTTGAAAATGTTGAGGAATTAAGTGACAAGTGTTTACTCGAATTTTTTCGTTTAAATTTTGATTATTTGTAGCTCAGTGAATAGTGGAATATTCTAAAGATTTTGACCCTCAATTTAAGGATATTTTATGTGCAGGTTGTTGAAAATGTTGAAGAATTAAGAGACAAGTGTTTACTTGAATTTTCTTGTTTAAATTTTGATTATTCGTAGCTCAGTGAATAGTGGAATATTCTAAAGATTTTGACCCTCAATTTAAGGATATTTTATGTGCAGGTTGTTGAAAATGTTGAGGAATTAAGTGAGAAAAGTCTACTTCAATTTTCTTATTTAAACTTTTGGTTATTTGTGGCTTAGTGAATACTATAATTTTCTATAGATATTGAATCTCCGTCTAAGGATATTTTAGGTGCTGAAAATGTTGAGGAATTAAGTGACGAGAGTTTACTCGAATTTTCTTGTTTAAATTTTGATTATTCGTAGCCCAGTGAATAATGGAATATTCTAAAGATTTTGACCCTCAATTTAAGGAATTTAATATATAGGGTGTTTAGCAACTTTTGCTACTAAATTAGAGGAGTAATTTTTTAAATAAATGTATTTTTTCCAAATTTATTTGCAGTCAAATTTGTCATTCAGAAATACAGAATTCGTCAATTTACACCATTCCTCCATCTCCAATAGCTATTGAGATATTACATAATTTCTTATCAACTATTTTTCCAAGTACTACCACACACCGAAGTTTCACAAAAGTTTACGATAATCCACACGTTCCCTTATTAGTACACCTTCATTAATCGAATTTATCCGAACACCCGGTATACTCCTAACCGTTCACCGCGCGATATTACTGATTCGATCGCGCGGCGTGAGATTTTAAAAAAGGCGAAGAAAATTTCATCCATAAAAAGGAAGCACGCCGAACGCAATTTCACGCGTGGCAAAACCGCTTCAACGATCGGCGATCATCTCTGATAAGCGTGGCGTCGCGTAACCGCTTGAAACGAGTCGCATATCCACGGGAACGAGAAATTATCCGTGAACATTATCGAGACGCGCGTTTCGTTCCATGAATTCCCGATCTTCATATCGAATTCCCGGTCTGCCGCGGATTTCCATAATTTATGCGCTTTTAGCCGGTTAGAGATCCCGCGGAATGGAGTAGGTAGGTACGCCAGGCAATCGGTCGTTCCTTCGAACGCCTGCAAATCTCTTTCGGACCAATCATTCTCGCCCCGTCGAATTTCTTCCGACGAAACGTCGCGCGATCTCTTCTTCCCCTCTCGCATCGACCAGACGAGAGACTCGTGAACGACAACGACGACGTCGTTCACAGCATCACGATTCCACGAGTGGCCCTGCTGAAATAACTTATAAGCCTTCCCACTCGTCGTTGGCCCGCTTTTTCCACCCGTTTCTCGACGTCCCATTTGCATCGTACGCGCAGACGAGTCCCGCTTGTTCTCCAAATTCTCCCACTTTCGGACCGATATGAGGTGAAACGGGACGAAGCCTTCGCGTGTCGCACGACTTCTCCTCGACGTGGAATTTTCAGATAGGGGCGAAGTGAATTTCAAACGAACGAGCCGGGGGATGTTCCTTATTTCGGTGAAATAGAGCGCGGATTCGGAGCTACGTTTACATGGCTCAAGACTTTCTGTTATAGTATAGGGTGATCTACTTAAAATAACCATCTCAATTATTTTCATTATTAGTTCACCAATTAAATTTCTCGTTGGGGTTTTATTGAACTACACGCTGACATTATTAACACGTTAAGCGCCATGTCAGTCGCCGGCGACTGACGCTATACTTTCCGTTCAGGCCGCGTCAGTCACCGGTGACTGACAGTATACTTTTCGTTGGTCGTCTTCTGTTTATAGTTCGCATGGCCCACTTGAGTGTGGCCTGAACGGAACGGTAAGCAAAACAGACTGGGCGTTTTACGTGTTAAAGTATATATATATTAGAATAAGTATGGATTACAATATTACGATGAATAACCACTGAGAGTCGAACCACACACGTGGCGGAGGTCCCATGTCTAGAACAACAAAACACGATCGGTGCCAATTGCCGATCACCTCGGGTCGCACTACACGCGTTGTTTTCGCACATGCGCAGAGCAACTCTTCATTTTTTTTTTTGTCACAAAGTGTACAGTTTTAAGGGGTCTTCAGGATGATAACCTCAGATTTGCTCGATTAGTCCATGGATTAAATTTTTTTTTTGTCATAAAGTATACAGTTTTAAAGGATTTTTGGGACGATAACCTGATTTTTTCTGTGTCTTATTTTCTAAATAAGTTTCCAAGGTAACGTTCAATTTTTATATATATAAAAAAATGTACCGAGGTTGTTAAATTCGTCTCTATGTCCCCTAGCTCAGTGTTCTTCAACAGAGAAATATTTCGCGGACCGGCGTCAGCTAGATAGAATTTTATTTATTAAATCTAATGTCATAAAATTGCAATTTCTGTCTTATTTATTTATCTTACTCTATTCTGTCTTACACTTCGTCGATATGATCGGGTGAAAGCTTGCGCGGACCACCGATTGAAGACCACTGCCCTACCTAATAGGCTAAAAGAAAGAAAAAATTGAATACGACCTTCAAAATTTATTAAAAAAAAAAAAAGAAGAAAAATCTAAGATAATCATCTCGGAGGTCCTTCCAAAACCCGTATCCTCTACAGCAAAAGAAACTCCGATCCCTCCACAGTAACCACGAAAGAATAAAAGTTGCTTGATAAAAAACATAACCCATTTCTCCACTCGTTCCGCCGAAAAATATTTGATCCGCAGTAAACCACGTCGAGGGAAGCCTCGACACGTGGAGCACCGGCGCAACGGAAGCTCGTCGCAATTTCAGAACAGCGTAGGAGGAACCAGGATCGATTTCCCGTTTACCAATCGAGCCACTCGCGTTCTCGATGGCCCTTTCCTCCTTTTCCCTCCGAACTATTCGAAACGATCAGCCGCCCACGTGGCCGCCGCCAGATCGTCGCACTTGAGCGACTTCGATTAAAAAAACCGCTCGGCCGCAACGAGGCTCGCCTCGCCTCGTTCCCACCGTCGAGAGATGCGCGGAAGTAAATCGCGGAGCGAGATGGAAAATAGAAGATCCTTGGGTAAGGATCGTTTTACAGAAAGCCACGTATCCCTTTTAGCCACGGAGAAACCGTCCAATAAAACCCCACGCAGCCATTCTTCCGCGACACTAAAAGAGTCGATTCTCTCTCCTTCGGAAGTTCCGGTACGGAATTGCAGCTGAGAAATTTAGCTGGACTTAAGCTACTTTACGCTCGTATCGAACAATTCGGATAATAAACAGCACTCGGTAACAAACGTTTCTCTCTGTTGTTCAAGGATAGCAGAGGATAACAACGAATTTTGCGATAGGAGGATTTCCACGATGTTCGAACAGTCCAATTGGAAACTTTCTACCTCCAGGTTGTTTGTTAGTTGTTTCGTTAGCTCGGATTGCTTGTACGGCGGATTTTACGACGCTCCTTGAAATTAACGCGTGCGTCTTCTTGCTATCGAGCGTGCAATTCTTGTGTCTCTGCGTCGAATTGCGATCGGGCAGGGTCGTAAAGTGAAACGTAAAAATTCGGGGACGTTTCCATCTCGCAGTTTCATCTTCGAAACTTTACGTCCTCGTGGATTTGCGCTTGCCTCGCGATTCGAAAAAATTGGAAGAACGAACGCAATCCTGACTGGAGATATAGAAGCGCGGGTATTTCCAAGTTTCCTCGAGGATTTGTTTCGCTTCTCTTGGTACACACAGGGTGCCTCGTGTATATTTTTGACGAATATCGCGAACTTTTCCTAGCAGACGAGAGTTATAGCTCCTCCCCAGTTTTCAATTATTTATCCCGGTGGTAATTGGTTATTCGGTGTACTTATTAGAATTAAATCGTGATCTCTCGAGGAGTGGAGCAAGTTTAATTTCTTCGAAATATTCTTGGATACCTGGCGGCGGCCGCGGCTCTTCTAACTTTCCTCATTAATCCTCGCAGATTCGCCCATTCTCCAATTTATTTACCCCGACCTACCCGATCCGTTGCACCTTCGGACTCGTCGCGGATCCCGGGGAAACGTCCACCCGCGGATTTCACTCTAACGAACGTCAGAAACACTTCGCTGAAATTCCACATCGGACTTTCGTGTCAATTTCAGTTTGTAAATGTTGCCTCCTATATGCACGCGGCACGCGAAATACGAATTCGTTGAACTGCTAAATTTTCGGCGAAATGAAATGTTTAACAACGATTTAATCGTTTTTAAAATTGTAGCTTGGCTGGGTATGTCGAGGATTAAGGTTAATTATGTGGAATATGGCGGAGAAGGGCGGATGAAAGCATTTTTTTTCAGCTGATAAACATACACGATTAATATTGTTTTACCGTGAAATTGAAATTCTTTGCTAGCTATGGCAAGAACTTTAAAAATAATGTGTTGCAATGTTTTGCTGTATATACAAGAGTGTATCAACCTTTGTATCATACAATGTACAAATTCATCCTCAATCCAGAATGCTTCAACCTTTGTATCATACAGTGTAGTTTACTATATCATACAATGTACAATTCATTCGCAAATCCAGAATGCTTGAACCTTTGTATCATACAATATACAAATTCATCCTCGATCCAGAATGCTTCAACCTTTGTATCATACACTGTAGTTCACTATATCATACAATGTACAATTCATTCTCAAATCCAGAATGCTTCAACCTCTGTATCATACAATATACAAATTCATCCTCAATCCAGAATGCTTCAACCTTTGTATCATACAATATACAAATTCATCCTCAATCTAGAATGCTTCAACCTTTGTATCATACAATATACAAATTCATCCTCGATCCAGAATGTTTGAACCTTTTTATCATACACTGTAGTTCACTATATCATACAATGTACAATTCATTCTCAAATTCAGAATGATTGAACCTTTTTATCATACAATATACAAATTCATCCTCAATCCAGAATGCTTCAACCTTTGTATCATACACTGTAGTTCACTATATCATACAATGTACAATTCATTCTCAAATCCAGAATGCTTGAACCTTTGTACCATACAATATACAAATTCATCCTCGATCCAGAATGCTTCAACCTTTGTATCATACAGTGTAGTTTATTATATCATACAATGTACAATTCATTCGCAAATCCAGAATGCTTGAACCTTTGTATCATACAATATACAAATTCATCCTCAATCCAGAATGCTTCAACCTTTGTATCATACAATATACAAATTCATCCTCAATCTAGAATGCTTCAACCTTTTGTATCATACAATATACAAATTCATCCTCAATCCAGAACACTTCAACCTTTGTATCATACAGTGTAGTTTACTATATCATACAATGTACAATTCATTCGCAAATCCAGAATGCTTGAACCTTTGTATCATACAATATACAAATTCATCCTCAATCCAGAATGCTTCAAC